TCTTCATACACCACTCATCATACACCACTCATCATACACTACTCATCATACACCACTCATCATACACGACTGATCACACACCACTCATCATACACCAGTCATCATACACCAGTCATCATACACCACTCATCATACACCAGTCTTCATACACCACTCATCATACACCACTCATCATACACTACTCATCATACACCACTCATCATACACGACTGATCACACACGACTGATCACACACCAGTCATCATACACCAGTCATCATACACCAGTCATCATACACCGCTCATACACCAGCTCTGGTTTCAACAGCTCAAGCTCCAGGCAACTCCAGCTCCAGGTGCAGATTTCGTGGCAGGTGCAGCACTTTGTGAACCTCCATGTGCAGATTTCGTGGCAGGTGCAGCACTTTGTGAACCTCCATGTGCAGATGTCGTGGTAGGTGCAGCACTTTGTAAACCTCCATGTGCAGATTTCGTGGCAGGCACAGCACTTTGTGCACCTCCATGTGCAGATGTCGTTGCAGGCGCAATACAAAATGCGTAGTGGAGAGATAGCGAAGGCACGAAATGCTGTATTTTTCAATGGAACCGGTGGCTCCGAAGCTGGCAAGTCAAGGTCTGCGGAACGACGGTTGCGAGACGGTCTCGGGTCATGCTCGGATCATTCTCGGATCATGCTCGGATCATGCTCGGAATCGTCCGTCCATTGGGATTAGAGTTTTCACTTGTTTCTTGAAGTGAAGATTTCGTGGCAGGTGCAGCACTTTGTAAACCTCCATGTGCAGATTTCGTGGCAGGTGCAGCACTTTGTGTACCTCCATGTGCAGATTTCCTGGCAGGCACAGCACTTTGTGAACCTCCATGTGCAGATTTCGTGGCAGGTGCAGCACTTTGTGTACCTCCCTGTGCAGATTTCGTGGCAGGCACAGCGCTTTGTGCACCTCCATGTGCAGATTTCGTGGCAGGTGCAGCACTTTGTGAACCTCCACGTGGATTTCCTGGCAGGTACAGCACTTTGTGAACCTCCATGTGCAGATTTCGTGGCAGGCGCAGCACTTTGTGAACCTCCATGTGCAGATTTCGTGGCAGGCACAGCACTTTGTGCACCTCCATGTAGATTCCTTCGCAGGCACAGCACTTTGTGAACCTCCATGTGCAGATTTCGTGGCAGGCACAGCATCCGGCGAGCTGGAAGCTGAGAACTGGCGACTTTGTAGTACAACTTTAGTACGCGGAGGAATCTGTGCAGCTAGAAGCTGAGAACTGGCGACTTTGTAGTACAACTTTAGTACGCGGAGTATCTGTGGAGCTGGAAGCTGAGAACTGCCGACTTTTTAGTACAACTTTAGTACGCGGAGTATCTGTGGAGCTGGATGGTGAGAACTGGCGACTGTCTAGTACAACTTTAGTGCGCGGAGCAATCTGTAGAGCTGGAAGCTGAGAACTGGCGACTTTGTAGTGCAACTTTAGCACGCGGAGTATCTGGCAAGCTGGACGATGAGAACTGGCGACTCATACACTACTCATCATACACTACTCCTCATACACCACTCATCATACACGACTGATCACACACCACTGATCATACATCACTCATCATACACCGCTCATACACCAGCTCAAGCTCCATGTGCAGATTTCGTGGCAGGTGCAGCACTTTGTGAACCTCCATGTGCAGATTTTGTGGCAGGCACAGCACTTTGTGCACCTCCATGTGCAGATTTCTTCGCAGGCACAGCACTTTGTGAGTGTCGAGGTGCAGATTTCGTGGCAGGCGCAGCACTTTGTGAACCTCCATGGGCAGATTTCGTGGCAGGCACAGCATCTGGGGAGCTGGAAGCTGAGAACTGGTGACTTCGTAGGACAACTTTAGTACGCGGAGCAATGTGTGAGCTGGAAGGTGAGAACTGGCGACATCGTAGTGCAACTGTCGTGCGCGGAGTATCGGGCAAGCTGGACCATGAGAACTGGCGACTTTGCAGTGCAACTTTAGTGCGCGGAGTATCTGGCGAGCTGGACGATGAGAATTGGCGACTTTGTAGTACAACTTTAGTACGCGGAGCAATCTGTAGAGCTGGAAGCTCACAACTGGCGACTGTGTAGTACAACTTTAGTACGCGGAGCAATCTGTAGAGCTGGAAGCTGAGAACTGGCGACTTTCTAGTACAACTTTAGTACGCGGAGCAATCTGTAGAGCTGGAAGCTGAGAACTGGCGACTTTCAAGTACAACTTTAGTACGCGGAGCAATCTGTAGAGCTGGAAGCTGAGAACTGGCGACTTTGTAGTACAACTTTAGTACGCGGAGGAATCTGTGCAGCTAGAAGCTGAGAACTGGCGACTTTGTAGTACAACTTTAGTGCGCGGAGTATCTGGCGAGCTGGACGATGAGAATTGGCGACTTTGTAGTACAACTTTAGTACGCGGAGTATCTGTGGAGCTGGAAGCTGAGAACTGGCGACTTTCTAGTACAACTTTAGCACGCGGAACAACCTGTGGAGCTGGAAGCTGAGAACTGGCCACTTTGTAGTACAAGTGTAGTACGCGGAGGAGTCATCTCTCGCTGCTGAGTCAGCTCTCGCTGCTGTGAGTCATCTCTCGCGACTGAGTCATCTCTCGCTGCTGAGTCATCTCTCGCGGCGTGCAGGTTTGGCACAGTTCATACTGATAGTATTTGGTTGCATTTATGCAGGACAGGACATTCAACTGCTGGTCAATACACCACTCATCATACACCACTCATCATACACCACTCGTCATACACCACTCATCATATACACCACTCGTCATACACCCCTCTTGTCATGGCAAAGATACAACCCAGTACGCTGTTGTGAGCTGCTGATCCTGCAGAGGGCACAAGTCCGGAGCGCGTGCGTTTGACTGGAGGATGCGCATGTTGGAGAGAACGTGGACACTCCTATAGGTCAATTTGTTCTTATAGGAAACTTCCGCCGCCGGCTTGCCCGGGAACTACTTGTATTATACATAATTCACGTCATCATTGAATCAGTGGCCCTTGCAGTATAATCATCCACTGGTCCAGGGTGGGGGAAGGGTCGTTTATATATGCCTCCAGTGCTAATGTATTTTGTTGCATTTCGGGATGACTGGCTGACATCAGGAGAAGATGCGCTGGCTGCGAAGAGACTGTAATCGAAGCAACTTCAGCTATGCGGATGTGTGTCGCCAGGCATCAAACTGGTCATCTTCGAGCTGCCCCACTAGAGGCTCTACTAGGAGCAAGGACGCTACTAGGGCCTTACTACTAGGAGCAAGGACGCTACTAGGGCCTTACTACTAGGAGCAAGGACGCTACTAGGGGCTCCTGGCCTTACTACTAGGAGCAAGGACGCTACTAGGGGCTCCTCCCTCACGGAATCCAACACCCTTTTTGGAGGGACGTGGGAAGTTTATTTCACGATGACATGGACCTACTTGTGCGTAGAAGTTCTTTTGCATAGCACGTGGCAACTGACTTATGACAGACAAAGTGGCTCACAGTAGAACTGTGATACAATGTTACGTGTTCCCCTTAACTTACTTGATGACTCGTGCAGCAGCACCTTCCCCCCCAAACATCCCCCCAAAAGAAATAATTAAAAGTATCTCAAGGGGTCATATGATTATATATATATATATAAGATAATGATTGGAACCAGTGGAAGGGAATTGCAGCAACAACGATGAAGAAGGATGTCACCAATGTCACGCTGTCCATCGCTTCTCTTCTGGAGACGTTGACCACATTTGCTGTAGCAGCTATATATATATGGGTAGCTATCACTTGCAATCCGACCAACCAGTAGCTCCATGCACGCTAGTCCGAGACACAGCCATAGTTGTTAATCGCTTCAGCTGAGTGCCTTCTAGCTGCGGAGCAAGAAAGCACATCAGTTCGCTGCTTTTTCGTGGCGAAAACTGTGAAGCCCTCGGCAGCGATTGGATGATCCCTGAGGCTGTGGAAACTTTCAATATCATTTTCTTTCCCTGTGGCCCTCGGAGCCAGTGGACCATTTGTTGGCAAGATATGCTCCTCGATCTGCCCAACAGCGCAGTCGGGGACGAGACTGACAAGACTTCGAGACGAGTCCGTGGGAAGATGCGGATGGATTGAACATGAACGCCAGGAATTTCCATGCCGGGCCTTCCTGGATCAGATACTAGAACTGCGTAGATTGTATTTGTATGTAATCCCCTCCACATCAAAAACGACACGGCCCCGCTATTAACAAAAACTCGGGTGCATTTTCTGACATAGGGGGTCCCTGAAATCCGGGTTGTCCAAAATAGGGTGAGTGGGAGGATCATCCGATCCTTGACTCATTGATTAATTGCACAAAAAATGCAGAGTTCGTGGCAGGCGCAGCGCTTGGTGAAGCTTGAAGTGCGGATTTCGTACAGAAAACTGGGAAGAGCTTCAAAACCAACAAATAACCCGGGATGTTGTTTTAATATATCAAACCCGTTGTAAAACTCGTATCAAACATTGAAATAAAAACTCCAGATCGAAGGGTCTTCCCTTTCCCCTTACAAAAACCTGTGTTAAAATAGTGGTTATTCATTCATTAGACTAATGTGTTTTTTGGGGGGAGCTTAATTAGAAAGGAAAAAACGCAACCAAATGTTGGTAGTTTGGCAGCGGTTTTAAAGGGCGCCATTTAAAACACATGACATATAAACCGACATGAGTGTTGTTTTTTAATATATATATATATGGGTATGTTGTTTAATAGGTGCTCGGGAGTTTTACATTATGACATTAAATGAAACAAAATATAGGGACGTGAGTAGTAGCACTTCAAGGCTCCACAACCTTTTTTGGGCGATGGTGGCCATGACAGATTCACCATTGAGCATTTTTGGCCCAACAAGTCTTGGGAGATAATTGTGGGACGTGCTGCACAATTATACAAATTCAAGTTCACATTTTAAAGACAAAAGGCTGCTGCACCTTAAGGCACCTCTAAAGTCCCCAGAGGGAGAACAATTGGGAGTATGGAATTGGAAGGAGACCATTCCTAAATAATATTGTGCAGCATTCATGGAATGTAACTCACTGAAGGTTCGCTTGCGTCAGCTTTCTTTTTTTCTTCAAAGATTACGCCCGGGGCCATTCTTGGAACACCATGACATGGCCCAATGCAGTGCTTTCGCACGTGGCAACCCTTGAGCTGCTGAAACGTTGGTCTAAGATGCTGGCGGATGTTGGGAAGGTCCTTTAGTTGTCAACCGTTAGTATATATAAGGGAAAGTCCTCCAAGTACTGATCGCTGGGAACCTATATTATCATAGTATAGTCAATGGTGACCCTCTTATGAACTGATCAGTGTTTTTGTTTTTTCCATTTTTGGAGACCTTTCTGCAAGCTGGTGGTGCTAGAATACTCTTTCTGACTTCCTGACCGAGGACTTTATTTTTATCACCGAGCGCTTTGATGATTCTTTGCTGGCGTTCCGCTCTCAGTGGAACCTGACCTTCGCGCAGTTGTTGCATGTGCGCTTGATTCTTGGTAAGTTCGCGGAAGATGCGCAGGAAGGTGTTTGATGCTCTCTTTGGGACGAGTTTACTACGGCTGCTGCCGCCGAATGTCGTTTGACAAATCTGTTCTCACCAGAGAGACAGAGAGAGAGAGAGAGAGCGGCCAACGGTTGGGTGGATTGGCATCAACGAACGCATACACTCAATTCACGTACTTGAGAGGGGGCTGAGAAAGACTGTGGTGTGGTTTATGCACGTCACTATGCACGCTTGCAGCAGCATAAATTCGCACATTCGGTAGTATGTGACATGTTGAACGGCTGTTGGACCGACAACTTTGTCGTTCACGCAATAGTGTTTTGGATCTGAGAGGGTGCTTGTGATGTGCATATCCCAACTGGTTTGATGAAAGAAGGGTTGTGCTTGTGATTGACCACACATTGTTATCCAATTAGATACCTTTTCCTGGTAGGTCACAGAGTCACACGGGTTCATCATTGACTGAGCCCGTCCCCACCGGCAGACTGCCCAGGAAATCCTCTGACCGACGACAGGTTTGCGCCTTCCGGTCGCGGAAAGGCTTTGTGGTGAAGAAGGAGGGGTTGCCCGAAGGTGGCCCGAATGGGCTTATACAGACCCCCAAATAGATAGAAAAGTAGATCCCCACTAAAATTGTATTGGAAACCGTTTCTATCTATTTGGGGATCACTATAGGGATGTTTAGGGTTACTATATATTATAGAGGAGATTTGATGTTTGGCTGGCGCAGATGTGTCGTTGGGGCCCAAGTCACTCTCGAATCCTCGAGCTTGCTACATTGCGATCCCCAAGCGCAACTCTTAGTGGCCAGAGGCAGGAACACTCAGGCCATCAGGAGTGATGCAGCAAAAGGGTTCGGTCATTTCATTTGGGATTTGAAGGCTCCAATGGCTCGGCGGGTCTGGCACTCGCGCAGGAGAACGGCGAGGCGTTGACCAAGGCGAAGACGGATCGACGCTTCCTGGCGCCTTGAACGACGAAGATGAAGTCGGCCCCAACAAAGACAGCCAGACAGCCCCTAGTAGCGTTCTTGCTCCTAGTAGCAAGGCCAGGAGCCCCTAGTAGCGTCCTTGAACGTGTTGCAGTTGGTATTGATCCCTATTAGATCCACATCCCATTTGAGACTGTGACTGGAGAGACTGTTATGCACTTGGAGGGTCCAAACACCCAAGGAGGTACTTGTATCCCTCTATAGGGTATACCCGACACACATGGAAGTGGACAATGACAATGGCCCCTCCATTTTGTTCCAGGGAGGGTACTAGAGGGTACCATAGTATTATATCAATCAGCGGCCTTTGTGGACCGCCGACCTGTCTCCACTGGCCCTGACTTGGAGGAGCATTTGCTTAGGGATGGGTTCGATTTTTGTGCCCTTCACCTCGGCGGACGTTGGACCATTTGAGCAACGCGCGTATACATGCTTATAGCCATGCGCATGCCTATGCACATGCCTTTAGTGACCTACAACATGTGCTTAAAGAAGCATCGAACAGTTGTATATAGCATTATTGATGTGGCCACAAAAGATTTTTGGATTGGGATGTACCTAGTATTGTATGGCATATATATATATATATTTGTATTATAGATACACCATTTGACCTTTGTTTTTAAAGGAAATAAAAGAATATTTTGGGTGATGTGTGTGATCTGAAATAGGGGTCACTCAGGCTCTTGGTGTATATATATATATATGTGTGTGTGCGTGTAAGATCGTAGAATGCGTACGATTCCTGGGGGATAGTTGGCTGAGGGCAGCAACTGGGCCGATCTCTATTTGTGGCAGGAGGCCAATGCTCGGCTGGAACCTTGGTCTCACATGGGCATACGACTGACCGCCGGTCACCTTGTTGGAGGATCAGCTGTCCCAATGTTCTTTCTAATCACATGCAATCAGTTCTTGTTCGTTTGATTGTTTGTGGTGTGTTGAACACCAACAGCCGGAAACAATTGATGTCAAAAAGAATGAACATCAAATGGTATTATATGATATTATACACACATATATTGAGGTACAGCTGCAGTCTCTTGCTGGCCTCCCAGGACAACTTGCTCTCTGGCTATGGCAGTGAACAACTCGAGCGAGATCGGGAAATGCTGCAGATCGTCCCTGAGCTGAATTCGTGGACAGTACATTCCGCAACCCACTGTCTCAAATGGTCCAACCTTAGGAACTAATTGGACCAATCATATAACAGGTTGACTACGGGGGAAAGGCCTGCGCAGGATGGGTACGGGAGAGAAGGGGAGTTGTTTGTACCCGAGTGACTCGCCACTGGTGCGCTCACCATTTCAAATCCATTTGCTTTATAGCAGACTTTGTTTAGGACTTATCAATGCGCTGGATCCTCAGTCAGCTGCTTTCCTTGGCAATCTCTTTTTGAGCATGGAAACCATGAAGACAGAAAGTCCAGAGTCTTAACAGACCACTGTGCTTTGATTCTATAGCGTTTTGATGTTTGTATGTCGCACTCGATTGGAGAATAAAGCATACATGACATAGGTGCTTCAACGTTATAGTATCGTTGTGAGTTGTGAATATTGAAGCCTATGATGGTTTTAACGTAATGTCATCAATTCCTTTTGTATTTTGCCCAAACCAATTGGACCTTAGCCACACCCAGCCTTGTTGAGCATATTTAGATCAAGCGCCCACCATTTAAGTCTTGCTTGCTAAGAACTTATAAATATATATATATAGATAGATCGATTTCAGATGTGCGGTTGTTTTGCGGCCATACCAAGAATTTATTGTGTTCCTTTGCTTGGCAAGGTGTTCCACAGGGCCTTTGATGCTATAGATCTAAGATGCTTTGACCTTGGTTGCGCCTGCGCTACTCAATGCTGACTACAGATGTACACACAAGTTGGAATGCATGACGTGCTAAGCTTTGGTTTTCAAGTGTTTGGCCTCGATTTTTTTGGGTCCAGGTGCAGAAGAAGAGACATGAGAACCCCCACCTCCCGCGAGTGTTTATGTTTCAGGCAATGTGAACCAAGTCGACCATCCACAGTTGCGGCGTTCGTTCGCCACTCCATGACTCGAACGGACGGGGGCTAGCTCGCTGCACGAGTCGAGGTTCTGAAGGTGGCAAGAGACACGTGCCAACGTCTCTCCGCCGAGCTTTGCCCCTTGACCGAGCTTAGTTGAGAGACTGATGTCCCACAATTGATCCGCGTTTGTTCCACCACAACTGGCGTTTGGATGCCCCGCTTGACCCAAGAAGTTGGGCATCCTTCCGTGGACCAGGATCTCCTTTTATATCCCCAGCAAGTACACCAGTGATTTCTCATGATTTCTCAAGCTTTCAGGGCAGCAGGAGCATCAAGTCATTGAGGGTGCGTGATATGTGCGACTGGCGCTGCAACATTAATCGACTTGAAATACATGTGTTCCCCATGTGTTGCAGGATGTTGCAGGTTAGCCCCCAAACGAACCACCAGCGCTTGTCATGCAGGTTGTTTCCCAGACCTTGGTTGTTTGTTCGGAGTTCGCGTGACACGTTCGCCGTTGAAACCGTGTTTCTGGAGGAAATTGCGGGGATACAAAGGACAACTACATCCCTTTGTATATATATATATATACAAAACTAGTATATATATATATATGGTCACCTATATTTTGCATTCATTACATTTTCAGTGGGCAATGCTGATGATGCAGAACGCCCAGGTATCGACTGCCTTCATGAGGACTGCTTTGCCAGTCACGCGCAGTAACGCGCAGCTACGCGCAACTGCAGAGTCAATGTTGGACATTGGACCCTCATCCTGCTTGGCAGCACGGGTGCTGCCCCCCCGAACTGTGCACATCGATGCTTGCACGATCGAAAGAGGGCGTTAGACGTAGATTGCTGTCATAGACTAGACGACCATAGACTCTAGACATTCCCAGGGGCCCACTATCTCACAATATTTGCATCATAATCTACACGGCAAACTGGCTAGATATGGACTTTCTACTGGGGGTAGGGGACCCGGAGCTCAACGCTGTTTCATGCACACCAATGTGTTTGATAAAAATAAAAGAAGTATACTAAGTATAGATGCCGCAAAGACGGGGGTCGGTTATTGCAGATATTTTGCAGGACATTGGCTGCGCTCAAGACTGCCTTGACCTGGTGGCTGAGAAGATTCGTGTTGGCGCCTTAGTACCACCTGGGCACCACAAGAACATCAGCCTGCACCACTGAGGGGCAGCATGCTCCACCAGCGTGGATTGAATCAGTATCCGTAGGGCACAAGTAAAAACAAAATCTTGGGGGATAAATGGACAGATGTTGGCATGATGTTGGGCGTTCCCCTTTCCACTAGTTGAATGCATAGCATTTTTCACATTGTTCCTTCAAAATCTCCGGGTTCAATTAAAGCCTCCAGGTCAGCTGGCTTGATGCTGGCTCAAGAACCAGGTGTAACTCCAGGTCTTTCCAAGATGAAGGTTGCTGGTCTCCTGCTTGAGACATGGGCCGCCCATTTTTGGACATGGGCCAGATGATTTCCCAGCTGGGATGGTCATATCAGGTGTTATCCAATTACCTTGATAACATACACCAACATTGTTAGCCCAAAATCCAGCAAGCCTACTAGCTTCTATGTTAGCTTTGGGAAGGCTTGTACTGCTCAGTTCTGAGGTCTTCGTGGGCGATACTTGAAGTCAAAGCAGGCCGCCGCAGCCCAGTCTCCACCGCAGCGGACCGGGCCCTGAGGCCACGACCGGACTTGGCGCTGTGACTGCCGTTGCTGAATGAATCAGAGAAATGCACCAGGCTAGAACTATACTGTATCTATCAACAATAGAACTATAGAACTGATTCTCAAGAGAACTATATAGACTAATTTATATATATATACTAATCAGAGAACTATAGATGGCGCAAGTCCCACGAAGATATATTCATTATGATATTGTGTCTAGCAGTCTAGCAGTTTGGCACAAGACGCAGTCCACCCAATCATGGGAGTTGCGCCTGAGTTGCGCCATATTTGTTTATTTAAATTAGGTGTATCTCATCGGCCCTTGCACTTGGCATTCCCAAGAGAAAGAAGTAGAAAGATGAAGAAGCAGAGCACAAGTAACATTGTATGGATCAGATAAGTGCAACTCCAATCAACTCATATATGCACATTCATACATACGCATAATCCGATATTATGTGTGTAATCAGTAATCATGTATGCATACACCAATCAATAAACTTTGGTGCCACCTCACTTTGGGGGAAAGGGCTTACGTTGCCTTTGCTCTCCTGGGATGGGACAGCTGAGATGTTTCGCTTCTCGTGGTTTCTGGTCGACCTGTTTCACGCATAGATGTTGCAAGAGCTTGTCATTCCAGATATTTCCAGACTAATGCATCATTCCCTCCTTTTTCACGGGATTCAGACATCTCCCACACAAAACGATCGGTCGGACCATCTCTCCGCTTCGCCCTCGCCGAGCGTGCAGGTGAACCACCCCTCACGCCGCCGGGCCCTCCTCCTGCAGTTTGCCGACATACACCTCCGACCCTCGTGACCGCCTGGGTACGGGAGATGCGATTCCTTCAGCGATACCTTCCACCTGGCACATTGTGCTTCTAGTGGCCATGCCTGGCAAATGCGGATCGTTCCTTCTGGCGTTCGAAGCTCGGGGTGGCGACCTGCAGCTGACCAAGCTGCAGGTCACAGAAGGAAAATGGAGGTCGATGCGAGCGGACTTTGCGTTGCTTCGGTATGTTTCGACTAGATATGTTGGTTTATTTGGTTTGGTGTTGAGTGATGTCTTGGTGGTTGGTCCAACATGGTGTGCCACGCCAATCGCGGGCTACATATCCGTCGTCCTTGGGATGACCCCATGGCCGAGCGTTTTGTCTCACCCTCTGAGGGTCGGCCATGAGTGCCCACCCTTAAGTCCCAATGTTCATCACTTGAAATGGAACGCCGCCCAAAAGTGCAATGTTGCTGGTGGACCCGCTGAGAGGTACAACAGGACCTGTTTTCACCAAGTTTGACCTATAATGATGATGTTGCAAGCTGCCATTGAGCCATTTATATAGTTTTCTGTGTTTTGCATATGACTGGTGACTCTAGTGCGTGAGTGGGATGGCTCGGAACCTACCCACTGCCCTGCTGGGCGCGTCCTCGGACCGCCAGGTGCGTGCGGATTTGACGCTCCGCGACGCGAGCGGCGGCACGGCACTGCACGCCGCAGCATTGATGGGGCACATGGACGTGGCCGCTGGGCGAAAGACTAGGTACCACAGACGAGGTACTGAGTACATCAGTCAAGTAGAAGTGATATATGAAGTTATAATGAATGATGTGTATACAAGTGGATGTTGGTTTGATTCTTCCAACTTCCCATGTAGGGCCTTGGGATCGATGTTTGCCATGTGGGATTGGCCGAACTGAGCATGGTTTGGAGGTTGGGAGAGAACACAGTGTTATCGACTGAAGAGGTCAATCACGCTAAACATGTTCTGAACTTCAAAATGTTCACGTCCCAGGGTGTTGGCCACTCCCCTCACTTTGAGACATACTGCGCTGCTAGTCCTTGTAGTACAGCACTTTATGTCTACCAAATCCATTCTCAATTTGTGGCATACCTTGGCATTCATCACCAAGAACATCCAAAGACCCAGTGGAATATTCAGTGAAGAAGGGTAGGGTCGGTAGGGTTATATAATTTGGGATTTTCATGTCCACACTGAGCCCCTGTCGAAGGTGGAGCTTCTCCTCGAGAATGGCGCACCCCCCGAGGAGCACGGGTCATAGCGGTCACGGGCACTGTGTCGGACGATTGTCGATATGCTATGTGGAAACTGTTCAATCCTCATTTTGGACTAATCAGAGAAAGCAAGTGCTGCAGCGGAGTCCATCCACAAGGGTAAAGGGTGTTCATTTCGCTAGGAGCATTCTGTTCTTGGAGTCACATGCGAGTGAAGTTGCAGTTCGTTGGGGCCAGAGGCCAATCTATGTAGTGTAGGCGGCCTAACTGAGCACAAGTGTGTGGGCTTGGTTTGTGAGTCCATGCTTGGCAGATTGTTGCCGGACTTTGCACGACCCCGGAAATTGTAAACCTTCCCCAAACCCAAAGGCAACACCCTCCCTAAACATGTGCGAAAGGGTTCTACTGCAAGCCCCTACCGCCTACCGCCTAGTTTTCAAAGCAAACATGGGAAGTCCTGCTGCCAAGAGATTTCGCATCCCGGATAGTGGATCATGACACTCCATGCTTCATAGAAATGGCTAGACCCCGATCAGGGAGGGCAGCAAGGTAGACAAACATCGATTTAGACAAACATCGGTGCCTTTGTCATTTGTTCCTTCCTGCGATTTCGATCGACCGCTCGAGGCAGGCCCTGTTGCCTTCGACCGCTTGACCGGGGTCGTCGCTCCTGTGGACCAAATCACAGCCCACGAGTGGCGAAGGGTGAAACACCCACGGAGGAAGTAAGCAGCATTAAGCAGCTAGCTGGACAGAGAATTGCAATAAGAAAACACACACACACACTGGTACCAGAAAACCCGCACCTATACCCTTAGAATCGTATGTTGTTTGTTCTTTTCAAGCCAACCAACCAGCGCTTTGGGGGTGAGAAGCTGAGCATGAGGGCCCAATGTGTCCAGGTTGAATATCAGAAAGCATCTTCAGGTGTGGCCGATGTGGCTTCTTAGTATCTTCTTAGTTTAAGAATTTTGCACCACTAAACTCCATCATCAAGCAAACCCAGAATTTGGTCATTACACTTCTTACACAGCATCCGCTGTACCAGACGCCGGAGACCCCTTTTTTGGGGTGGTGAATTTAAACACCCCGAATCGCACCCTTTTCGAGGCTATTCGTCTCTGACACCCCGAAAGGGGGGCCCCAAACACGTGGCCCATTTGGTTTCGAAGCCTGAGCTCTGAAGCCTGAGCCTTCCTGGTTGCGCTCACCACCGGCCCGGTCGGATGCGCCGATGGCGGCAGCTTGGGGTCTTTGGACAGATGGTTTGGTGATGGGATACTGTAGGGTTGGGGTGGGGCCCATAGCACTGTTGCAAACCTATCAAGATGTAGACTATTCTGTCTTTAGAAGGCCTAGAATGGCCCAAACGCATTCATCAATATACATAGAATCACCTATATCCTGTGGTGGAGGGAGCTGACTTTTCAGAGAAAGGAGCAGGCCATGCTAGGTCTCATTTTGGGTGCTATATTTGAAGTTGGAACCATTCGGCATCATCCAGCTGCAGTCCCCCTGTATGTTTTTGCTGATGAGGTCCCGGCAATCTGCGGAGGCTGGCCTTTGAATTAATAAAACCTGCCACGTTCACGGTGACAAATTTCATTCTGTAGAACATGGCTCCTTTTGCCCACTGGCCGCTTCAACATCACACACATCTGAAGAATTTGGGCCTCCAGGGTGGCAAGAAACAATGAGAGACATCCCATGCTGAGTGCCCGCCCACGACCAAGGCCTTTTGCCTTTGCGGAGCTGTTTTTCTTCCAAAGCCAGACGCAGAGGCTGTGTTGAGGGAGGCTTTGAACTTATACATATGTATAATTACAAAGGTTTGAATGCACTCAGACAAGTCATGTGGGGTTGGTGATGTGTTTCCAGATCTCAAATGCGGAGAGGGTGGCCAAAATCTTGTGATATTTTGTGGAGATCCCTCACCCTTAGAGCCCTAGAGGCCCTAGAGCGCGGCAAAGAGGCTTCAGCTCAAAACGAAGACACCACGCTGCAACATTGAGCTGGCCTCTTCGCAGAGGCACATATGATTTTGAGGGGTCCCCATGCACCCTGGACCAATCACGCATCACATTCCTGTGTTCCTTTGGACTATTTACTGTAAAAAGGCTCAGCTTTCTTCAAGCAAGCACTTAAACTATAGTTTTCAGACCGCCGGCATGACTCGATGGCATAGGTTTGGCTTCATCGCCCTTCCTCTCGCGCTACACTGCTGGCCCGTGCCGCATCCACCGGGCGAAGAGCGCCTGGCGAGAACCCGCCCCCCTGGCTGCATAGTGTCACGTGTCACAGCGCGTTGGAGTCGAAATGGTGCTGTGCCCCCAACAACATGCAGTCGTATCAAAAAGGAATGTAGAATGTGCTGCCACTTCGTACCGTCACTTGTATTCAGCCTGATGCTTTGTTTTGATGGGTATGTCAGGTATGTCCAGAAAGTCAGGCATTTAGAGCCAACACGTTGGTTTGATGAGTTTAAGTTTAGATGCAAGTTGTTCATGTTCAGCTGAGGTATGATATTTTAGGTTTGCCGCGTGGCTGTACACCGGAAGAGATCAAGCCAGCTTTCCGCCCTTCGGCTACAGAGGTGAGCGGAGCAGCCACGGCGGCCCCTCACGAAGGGATAAAAAGCGCTCTTAGTTTGCCCAGTCATGGGAAATGGGTGTGCAAGTGTGTGCATTGTTCACCCACATGATGGGG